ACAGTAATCTGCAATTGATTTGCTGAAAAGTTTATTGGATGCCAGAGCAGCTCTTTCTTGTGAATGACGATCGACATTAGGAGTCTTCAAACCTGGCAACTCTAAGACTTGTGGACTTCAAGTTTTAAAATTGGCATGTTTGGAGATCCCTGATCTATGTGGAGGTTCTGCAGGAAGAAACATTTTCTGCACCATCATCTAAAACAACCACAAGAAAACTTTTAGAAGTTTCCAATGCTTAGGAACTAAGTGCTACAGAGTAATGAAACAAAAAATTGAACTGTTTTGCCACCAGCTAAAAAATAGGTTCAACTAAATATCAACATGCCGGATGTGCTGATGTCCCACAGTTAATGAAGAAATCAAAGCTGAAAAGAGTTTGGATATTTCAGCAAAATAATGATATCAAATATACTTCCATATGAACCAGAGGTGAAATCCAGCAGGTTCTGACAGGCTCTTGGTAGCGGAAATTTTGAGTAGATAGAAGAACCGGCAAATGCCACCTCTGGCTGGCTCCAGAGTGGGGTGGGAATGGAAATTTTGAAGTATCGTTCCCCTGCCATGCCCACCAAGCCACTCACATCAACCCACACTTTGCCCACCAAGCCACGCCCACAGAACTACTTGTAAAAAAAAATGAATTTCACCACTGATATGAACCATGGAATATAGGAAATATAGAAAATAGGAGATTCTCTGTCATTTGGGTCATGGTTGTCCCAAAGGTGCTTTTTCAAGAGGCAACTGGACTTTCTAGTAGAAAGGGTTTTGGAATGAACTTCCCAGGCCCTAGACTAAAAGATTATTGAAAATCTGTAGGAAGGCCTTAAACCTACAATGCGTGCGAGGAGAGTTAAGAACATTTCTGAGCCCGAAACATTATGTAAGGAAGAAAGGGGGAAAATCCAAAAACAAGAACTGAAAGAGCTTGGTATATGAAACATTTGGAAGCTGTTATTTCTGTCAAAGGAGGATTTGCAGAATGCTGACTAAAAGTGCATTCAAACTTCTGCACCTGCCATGTTCAATCTTTTCTTATTTTGAATCTGTCAACTGCACATATAAATATGCATTCAGAATTGCAGAAATATCTGTTTACCTTTCTCCCATGTAGAAGTCATGTCAGCTTCTATTTCACTTAGGGATTCATTGGGACGTACAATTTGACCAGGAATGTTTAATTGTTTGCTCTTTGTATGTACTTTGTTCTGAGCCACTGGATGAAGTTTGGTATTCTGGCCATTCTGTGCCCTAATGGAATCCCTGACTGAGCGGATAATCGTGGCATTGAAGATTCCCAAGACTTTTTTGCTTAGGAGATTTGAGCCTCATTGAGTCCCGGCTAAAGATGTCAGGTGTTTCGCTGGCTTTTTAATTTTGGAATTTAGCTATGAAATTGACTTCTCCTCATATAAGTTTGTCTTAGAGAAGGTTGATAGTGTATAGCAGTTCCAAGGCAGATGTCATTGCAATGGATGGATCAACTGGTGAAGCCTGGGCTGCTGCAGGAAGTACTTTTCTTCAGGAGTGGGGATCAAATTATTTAGCCAATATGGCCTGGAGGTTTCTAGATCCAATCATATTCCAGGAATCAGGGACATTTTGTCAAACTTTACTCAACTGTGATCTTGAGTTGAACTAGATATGGCAGCCCTAAATACCCATTTTCCCATGTCAAAACCCATAGATCCATGACATACAAAGTGATTGTGGATATTGAACATGAGTATAGACAGCTACCTTCCTAAAGCATGAGCATAAATGGTGCAAGATGAATCCTACTGGATATGATAAAGTTACCACTCAAGTCAATGCTGTAACTTCAAGAGAAAGAGGAAATTATTGGTTTCCTTGATTAAATTCACAGCAAACCAACTAATAAAGTCTTTATCACCTCACAGTTCTAACTACAATTTACATTAGCCAGCAAATTAGCACTTTCTTCCAGTTGCTGAACCTGGAAACATGGATTTCAGTGGGGTGGGGGTAAGGAATGCAATGTGCCTCATAATATCATGATACAAACATTCTAACTTAAATATCAAATGTCATGATGCATGTTTCATTTTGATATAATCAGGATCGACTGCAGCCCCTTTGGAAATATGCATGGTGTTAATGTCCAGACTGACAAGACCTCTCCAGACAGATTTATCAATTTGTCACTTGAGGAAATGGATAAAACTCCTTCATACCACTACTTATGAGGGTTGTTCATGATTCAAAAATTATTTGGAAGAAGTAACTTTGGCATCATGCAAACACAGTACCTCTTTGTCATTAAAATAGTAACTAGAATAAGCTTTAAAAAAAGGTGCAACACCGTTAAAACATCCTTAATTATTCCATTTATAGTCTGCTGCAATCCCATAGGACTCTTGGTAGCTTTATAAGAATATAAAAATCATTATGACATCCACCGTCCTGTTAAAATAATACAAAATCTGAAACATTTAAAGAGTCAAACATCAGAGGTCATTCCATACCTGGAAAAAGCTCCATCTTTAACTGCTTCCAGAAATGGTGGCTTCATGCAATTCACAAATAAGTATTGACTTAGATTTCTGATGCAGATAATTCCCCCCCCCCGTCCAAAATATTACTGTATTTGCCTAATTACAGGCAGTACCTAGCCAGCCTTGCCTAATCTTTAAAATGTTATTCAGAATTACATTTGTCAGCACTTTGAGATTGTCAAGAAATCCCAGTATAAGTAAAACAACAATCTAGAATAATGCTTGGCAAATCACTCTATACTGTGGGTGTGTCCATGTAGGCTCTAGGAACAAAACTTGACTTGAGGGTGATTTGGCTTTTATACTGGCATGTTCTTTAGTCTTACCCAAATGGCTATGTGGAAATCTGAAGTAAGAGGCATCTTGGAAAGGTAAATTGTGGCAACAGCATGAATAAATGAAAGCAGCCTACGAAATGGGATTTCAGTGAATGGATGCCTAGCTTCAATTTTGATGAATTACAGAACCATTTGCAACTGTTTAGTGAAGTACAGTACAAGCTGTCTGAGAAAGCATTTAAAGAACCAAAGTGCTAAATGGAATAAAATGACAGATCACAAAATGCAGGGCACTTCTACCCAGTTGGATGCCTCCCTTGAAAGTTGTGCAGAAAGGCAACTTTGCATGTTTGCCATTAAAAAAAAAGGTAGCCACAGCATTTGGAAAAGCAGTTATTAAAGACACCCTGGTCATGGAAAGGGAGGGAGGGGGATCCACTGAGACTAAAAGTTTCTGAATAATGTTGCAAATCACTATTATCTAAGGTACTTCACTCTTCTATTTGCAGCTGAAGAAAATAAAATCCGCTGAATATTCCTCAAGTCCCTTTGGCGTGAGCAGGTCCTAGACTAAAGGGTTAGGATTCAACTCTTTTGTCCTATATTTATATTCATTTCCATTCCATTACCTTTCTATGTATAAAACTTGAGATGTTCAGATACTTTGGTAATCTTACTGCACTCTAGACTCAAAAAAACAATATAGAATTTCTGTAAAACTCTTTTTAAGAAATATGTATCCTCCCCCAACCTCTTCACTATCTGACTCTGCTGCCAACTCCACTGGCTGCTGGCAGGCCACAACACATAGATAGTTGCCCAAAGGCTCTGTTTCAGTGACCTGATCCTTCCTTGGAAGCAGAAAGCCTGGGATTCACCCACGAAGTCACTGAGTCTTGCATGGTTATCTGGAGAGTCTGATCCTGCTTAACTTGAAGAAGTGGACAGGGGTCTTGAAATTGCTAGTTCAGCCACTTCTGTTTTAGATCCATGCTCCTTTTGGCTGGTCAAGGTTGCCTGGAAGAGGCTTTGCGATTGTATAAGGGTGGTGGTGGAATAAATAAATGAATAAATGAATTCTAGCTCACATCTTAATTCTCTAGTGCAGTTTTAACTTGGAGAAAATAATCACAATGTTTCGATATTTTTCTTTTATTGGGTGAGCTGCTGAGAGTCACCAGATTGTAGTGGAATATTTTATTTATTGATTTATTAGTTTGTCATGTACAAGGTAACAGATACAAGTATGAACATGGACATGAACAATGGAGCTGAGTACAAATAAATGGGAACAGTTAGGACAGGGATGTAGGAACACTGGTGCACTTATGCACACCCCCTTTACGGATCTCTTAGGAATGGGGTGAGGTCCACGGTAAACAGTTTAAGGTTGAAGCTGTGAGGGTTTGAGGATGTAACAACGGAGTCAGGTAGAGCATTCCAGGTGNGACCTCATATATGAGGTCAACAGCCACAGGCCTACCGGAATAGCCAGGGTTTGGTGGCCTTTCGGAAGGCCGAGAGAGGGGGAAGGGTCGGGATCTCCAGGGGTAGATCGTTCCATAGGGTCGGAGCGGCTACAGAGAAGGGCCTCCCCCAGTGGGTCGCCAGACGACATAGTCTGGTCAACAGCACCCGGAGAAGGCCCACCCTGTGAGATCTTATCAGCCGTTGGGAGGTATGTGGCAGAAGACGGTCTCGCAGATATCCGGGTCCTAGGCCATGTAGGGCTTTAAAGGTAGTAACCAGCACTTTGAAATGCGTTCGGAGACCGATAGGAAGCCAGTGCAGCTCGCGGAGGATAGGTTTAGAGCAGGGGTTCTCAAACTATGCCCCCCTGGGCCGGATACAGCCCACCAAAGCAATTTATCCGACCTGTGTGCCATTCAGAACTGCAGAGGGGAGGGACAGGGCAAGGGGAGGTCCAGCTCTTGGCTTCCACACAGCCTCAGGGCAGGAGGCCTGAGAAAACAGATATCCAGCCCCACGGTAACTATGAATGTTGTTGTATTTTAAATTGTTGTTGTCCTATTTATTCCCTTTCCCCTTTTTATTGTAAGCCGCCCGGAGTCCTCCGGGAGTGGGCGGCATACAAGACTAATAAACTACTACAATTACAACTACTAAAACGCGCCTGGTCCAGACACACCGCCCTCCAGGAACCTCTTTTGGGTTCCTCCTTCTCAAGCTTTGCGGTTGATCCGAGTGAAGGAAAAAGAAGACGGGCAGATTGACAGTGGCCTGCGGACGTTGGTAGGAAAGTTGGTTCCATATCCCAAAGCTGGTCGTCCGGGAGCAGTTCTTCCACCGGGGTGCACCTTGCCTGCCAGGGAGCATCCAGGCAGCTCATGGTAGGGCTGGAAGTCTGCCGTAGAAGGTGGTACAAGAAATGGTGCACATAGTGCAGCCTGTGCTGGCTGAAGCAAGGAAATGGCACTATTGCGGCAAGGTGAGGCAGCAGAGGTGGGCCAAAGCAGCAGAGGCGACAGCCGGAGCCTTCGTGCGGGAGCGAAGCACCCCTGTACTTGCTTTTGTGTGGCAACAGCATTCTGCCCTCATTGCGGTACATTTGCGCTCAAGGCAGCCCTCGCCTCCCACCACTTCGGGTTCAGAGCTGTAAGCCACGCCCGGAAAGCACTGCGGCAGAGAGAAGCGGTCGTGGCTGATTCTTCCGTGCCTCATCTCTTGCTGGGTGTCACGGGTGCTTCTTCCAGCCCTTGTTGATGTTAAGCGCGCCTCGGTCTCTCAGGGAGACGCGCAGCCTGCTCTCTGCCCTGATCCGGCCACGGCTGACACCGCTGCTGTTGCCACCTCCATGGCTTGCCTGCTGCTTCCACAGAGCCTTGCGCAACACATTGAATTTAGTGCACTTCACAGTGGGGGAGATGGAGTCCTCTCCTCCTCCTGGAGCCCATTACAACGTGGAGTCACAACGAGACCCTGTCGCACCTGCCCCCGGCAACAGCAGCGAAAGCCGGTATCTCAGGGCGGAGAGGAGGTCGTGGACCTCCCCGAGCGACCAAGGCACGTCCAGCACCAACTAAGGCCGGAGGTAGCCACCCGCTGTTCCCTGCTGCAGTCCATTGGGCAGCGAGACCCAGCTAGAGATGAGGCGCCAGAGAATCAGGCTCAGAGACAGAGAGAGGGAGACAAGAGACACACAGCGAGAGAATCAGACAGGAGAAAGAGATAAAGACAGAGAGAGACAGAGACAGTGAGAGAACAGAGAGAAATTATATTTCATGTTTTGTGCACTACAAATAAAATATCTGCAGTGTGCATAGGAATTTGTTCGTGTTTTTTTCAAACTATAGTCTGTCCCCCCCACCCCACCCCGACAGTCTGAGAAACTATGAATTGGCCCGCTGTTTAAAAAGTTTGAGGACCCCGGTTTAGAGTTTTGCATGAAGAGAGTTACTTTTAAAAAAAACCAAGTATACCATAAACTAGCATGATGTGTTACACCATTATCCTTCATTCTTCGATTTCCCTTCCACAAAGCTTTGCAAATTCCCCTTTTAAGGCAGCAATGCAAGATTTAGCAAGTTAGCAGCCAAAACGCAGAGTGAAAATCCACTAATTCCCATCCTATATCTTTCTAACAAAGCAGTGCAATGCTTTGGACTGTTTTAAACAAGTGCTCCAGAGGAAACAGATCATGAAAGTTATACTAGTTTTCTTTAAAGCAGTCATGCAATCCAGGAAGAGACACAACTGCTTTAGAAAGTTGTAGAGAAGTGCAAATTTCACACAATCATACCTTTAGTAACTTCAGAAATCCATTGTTTCTTCCAAAAGATAATTGCTTTGCTGAGAACTCTTCCCATCCAAATAATTCCCTTGAGAAATAAAGGACCAGACACATTCACTGAAGGAGCATCACACTCCCGCCACTGAGTGGCCTACACAACTTGTTTATTTCACACTCCATTCACAGGGCCTAAAACATTTCAACCCGAGACAGAAAGGAGGCATAGACACAGTTCTCCAAGCCAAATTAGACCAAAATTATTAAAGTTGATGGACATAACAAAACAACAGGACTTTCACTCAAGTAGAACCTGCAAACTGAAGTTGTAATATTTCGTTATCCCACTTTATGAAGAGCCTTGGTAGAAATCTCTTACCTGGTGCTTATCAGATACACTCTTCAAAAATATTTTTGTTCAATTGTTTTCCAAATTCTTTTCCCTTCTTTCTAACTCTAGCAAAACAAGCAGCAGTAATTTTTTTATTTCTCATCAAGGCCTCGGAATCAAAAACATTTCATGCTGGTATGCACGTGTGCTTTCACATCAAAATTTGAGCTTAGTACCTGAATTTTTGTTGCAAGTATATCAGCCATCCCCAATCTGGTATACACAAGATATGTTAAGTCTGCAACTTCTAGCCACTATACTCCGTGGCACGACAAAACCGCGCTCGACTAAGCCGCGCCCGATTAAACCGCGTCGCTGACGTCATCAGCAGGGCGACAACAGTCAGCGCGGAGAAAGAAGGGCGCTTTAAATAGCCCTTTGAAAGCAAGCCGATTCAACTTAAGGTAAGGGTAAGG